AAATGAAAACCACTTTAGGAAGAGACCCTGGCCTGATTCTTTTGCTCTGAGTGTGAGGAAACAGACCCAGAGAAATGCAATGTCTTGTTCAAGGTCACAAAAGACAAGGCCAACATTGGCTGTCTTGCAATATCTGTCCTCCCCTTGTTTCTTGGAAATGCTACTCCTGCCTTCTGCTGTACACATGACTGTTTAGAATAAAGACCATATTTTCCAGGAAAATGAGGTTTCATGACCAAATTCTGGGCTAAGTGGTGTGAGTACTTGTGAAGGGTGTGGGGAAGTATGTTTACAGGTCAGAGTTTAGGGTGGATGTTTTCTTCCTTTTGGGTTGCAGATTGATAGTTCAAGTACAAGTAGGCAGCCTGGATGATGAAGTGCAAGATGTATTTATAAATAAGAAAGAGCAGCAAGTCTATTTATAAATAAGAAAGAGCAGCAAGTCTAGAGCTCTGATGATATGGAATTATCAACTTAACTCTGTAATATTCACTTCCACTCCTTACATGAAAGAGAAATGAGTTTCTATGTTCATTTCAGTTACTGTTATTTCTGATTTTTATCCTTTACAGTTTAATTGAGTTAGGAATTTTGGGCTCCTGAACCCAGATAGAGAACTATTATGTTTTTCTGTGTGTTAGTATGTATGCATATTTGTGTGTATGCAGGGGCACACGTATGTTTGTGTATGTGTGTAGGTCAGAGAGCAACCTTAGATGTCATTCCTCAGGTACCACCCACCTTCTCCTTGAGACAAGATCTCTAATGGCCTAAAACTTATCTAGCTCTAGGGGACTGCCTATCTCTGCCTCCTCAGCACTGGGATTACAGGCACAACACTATGCCTGACTTTTTTTTTTTTTTTAACACATGGATTCTGGGAATCAGACTCTAGTCCTTATGCTTGCAAAGGAAGCACTTTACTAACTGAACTATCCTCCCAACCTTTATTACGCTTATTACTATTAAGAACAAATGTCAGGCCAAAGGTACTACTTGGGAATAGAATGCTCATAAGCACAAGGCCCTGAGTGTATTTCCCAGCAATGCGAACAATCAATCCAACAAATGAAGATAAATATTAAGCTGTGCTTGGAGGGTTTTTTTTTTTTTTTTTTTTTTTTTACATAGTAGTTGTCAATAATTTTTGAGTGCTTACTTAGTGCTAGTCACTATATACTTGTCACTAATTTCATTCTCATGTTCACTATAGGATATTGTCATCACTCTAATTTTACAAAGAACTGAGATATTTAGAGATTAGCTAAAACTTGTACAAGTTCACATATGTTGTAAGAGGTAGAAGTGAGATTTGAACCTAGGTAGCCTGGTTCTAGGTCCTGCACTGTTAGCTCCTACGTCACTGTCTGTCGTATGATTTGAGGTCCTCCTCCTCACCCTCTCTACCCATTTTACAGAGGAGGAAGTGGAAACAGATGATTGCCCAATTATTTGCTTAAATTCACAGTGCTGCAACCAGCCATTACAGGCCAGACTCCTAACTCCCACTCTGTTCTTTGCCCAGACCACCCTGTTGTCTAGAGGCCACCTGGGCAGATACATAAACTCCACCCCTTGCCTCCCCTTTCAACATATAACACATACACACACACACAACCACCCAGTAGGCATTCAGACATTTTTGTGGCCAGGATGGCTACAACCTGCTTTGAAAAGCAGCCAGCTTTTGCCCTCCACCAAATAACTTTGTTTTATTTATAGTCTCCTGCCCAGAGCTTTTGAACTGACTGCTCATTCCAGAGAAGATCTTGATAACAACTGCTCCTTGGAGAGGTTTCATAGAAAACAAGGTGAGTAAACACACGGAGCCCCTGCCTGTCTAGCAGAACATTGCTCCTGGGGGTGTTTATAAGTCTGTGTTGGTGTCTGGGTGCAAAGACTTTGAATTCAAAATCACATTTGGACATTTCTTTCTTTTTTTTTTTTTAATTCAAAAAGGTTCACCCCTTGCCTTCAACAACCTCAAGGCATAGACAAAAGGGAGATCTTATTTTTATCCAGGAGGTAACTCCCAAAGAAAAAAAGGTTTTCTACTGTTCATTGTGTTTTCTGCTCCCCACCTGGCTGGGAGCCTAAGATGTTACTATGTCATGTGACTACAACATGAGTATAGAGTGGAGAGACTTTCTGGACTTATAAAAGCTAAAATGATAGAAGGGATGAACAGCATTTCAGAAAAGAAAATTGAAGGAGGCAAGGAAGAAAAAAGGCCCACTACCAAAAGGGCCCCCATGGACTTGTAGTGGTTTTTGACTTGTGTCCAAAAGCATGACTAGGTCTGTCTTGTGTCTGGAATTACTCAGCACTGATGTGGACCTTGGCCTCACTAGTTGTTAGTTGTATCATCTGGGGAATATGCCTCAGTTTCTTCTTTGCAAAATGGGAGGACAAATTCCCAGGAGCATCACAAGGATTGGCATGAACCAGGCCCAGGGAATACTGTGCCTAATTCATGGAGGGCATGCACTCACACCGTCACTAAATGGGTCTGTCATTATTGCTTCCTTTGTGGTCCCTCCAGGCCTAGAGGACAGGAAACTGGAGTTCATGAAAGTGAGTTGCTTGGGGTCCCAGCAGGGACAGGTAACAGGTTGATGATCCTGGCTCTCAAATATTTCCCTTTTTGTTAACTTCTGCCAGGGACTGTTGTGGTTAGAGGAGGTTTCAGTACTGGAGCCCTCATAATGACCAATAAAGGAAGCAGGCACCCTTGTTAAGCCACCCTACAGGTCCTGTAGTAGTTGGTTTTCTTGTGATGAAATACCTGACAGCAATTAAGACCAGGTGTGGCGGTGCATGCTTTTTAAGGCCAGCAGCACTCAGGAAGCAGAGGCAGGCAAATCTCTGCGAGTCTGTGAGTTCTGAGCCACCCAGGGCTTTATAGTGAGATCCCATCTCAAATAAATACGTAAGTAAGTAAGTAAGTAAGTAAGTAAATAAACACACAAAACAAAACAAAAACCAAAATAAAACAAAAAACCAAAGCAAAGGGTTTAATTTGGCTCACAGTTTTGAAGGTACAGTACAATTAACATGGTGGAGAAGGCACGGCAGCAGGAAATGAGGCAGCTAGTCACAAGGAATCCAGTCAGGAAATACAGAGAAAGATGAATATTGCATTGTAGCTTCCTTGTTCTTTAAGCCAGTCCACAGAATAGGGCCACCCTCCTGAATTAACCTAGAAACTCCCTCATAGATAGTTCCAGAGTTTTCTCACCTAGGTTATTGGTTGTAGAACAGCCACCATCTTCAAATCAGTTGTGCCTGTTGCGGAAGATCAAGAGCAGGGCTGTTGGTTGTTAACAGTCTCTCAGGGTTCTGTCTGCTCCTTCCAGCCATTTGTATGGACTCTGCCCTCATTGCACATTCCTCTGGGTCTGGGGAGGTGCTGGAATACACAGATTGTAGGAGGTTGACTAAAGAAAACTGTATGCATGTCTACAGGAAAGCTGTCATTCATGCTAGGGTAGATACTTTTTTCTTCTTCTTCAAGACAGGGTTTCCTGTGTAACTCTGGCTGTCCTGGAACTATCTTTGTAGACCAAGCTGGCTTCGAACTCACAGAGATCTGTCTGCCTCTGCCTCCCAAGAGCTGGGATTAAGGGTGTGCTACATCACAGTGGGGTCATGGGATGGACACTTTCTAGTGCAGCTACTTTGGAGTCACCCACACTCCTGTTGGCAACCCTCACTCATGCTCTATAAGTAAGTCCAATAAAATCATTGGTTCCCCAGGTGGAACTTGGAGGGACTTAAACATTGGTTTGTTAGTATGTACCCTAAAGGAGAGGGTAGATACTGTTTCCCCAGGGAAGCAATTCTTAAAACATGGTTCTAGACAATATTAATCAATGCAGGTCCTATAACCTTTCCAGGTGGCTTTCCTGTGGGTATGAGTCAAGGGTCTTAACAGGAAAGGTTAAGAGGAAACAAGGGCATGAAGTGAATAGTGTGACAGAGAAGATTTGTATGGAATTGACAGGGAAGGTACAGGTCTGAGGGGGCTACACTGAATCTATGCCAATGCTGCTAGGTGAGAATGAAGAGAGCAGATGTTAGAAACAGGCCAGGTAGAGGAGGAACCTCACAGAGTAGCACTTCCTAGAATGTTCTTGCTGGAGGCCTGGAATACCAGAAGAAGGTTTGGGCTGCTTGTTATCTCTTACCCTTGTCTGCAAATTATAGGTGAGGACATGACATCAAAACGGGGAGGGGACACCTGGACTAACTCATCCTCAGCCCCTGGTGTGCAGCTCTATAGTACTCCATTTCCTGGGATGCGTGGACTCTGGTTTTTGTTGTTGGTTGTTAAGTTTGTTTTTCTGTTTTCCAAGCCCTCACTTACCGATGTATAAAAAAACTCTTTAAAGCTAAACCTCCATGGTCCATGAACTTCATTCTCTAAATTTGGGAGACAAGAGTCCGAAACTTGGCTCAGTGAAAGCGGAGTCACTGTGTCCTGCATTAAAGCATACGTGAGGGGAGGACAAATGTCTCCCACCAATTCAGAAACTACAAATTTTAGCCAGGCAAGAGGACTCCAGGAGAATGGATGAAGACTTCTTCACTGGTAACGATGGAAGTTTCTTCAGGGCGTTTTGGGAAGATTCTGTCAGAGAGCAGTGGGACAGAGGTCCCTAGTTTTCTTCCCAGAGAAGCCTCAGGCCTTTCGGGTAGACCAATGTCCGGATGTGCGCTTCCCGACCCCCGGGGACCGCTTCACGGGAGCCGACTACACTTCCCAGCAGCCCCCGCGGCTGGCGGCGCGGGCGGGTGGGGGCGGCTGTGTGAGAGACGGAGGGGGCGGCGCGCGCCGGGTACGCGCGCCGGCGACCATGGCGTTCGCCGGGCTAGAGCGAGTACTTTAGTCCCGGGAGGCGACGGCAGCGGCGGCGGCGAGGGAGCGAGCCTCGAGCGGGCGGGCCCCAGCCTGAGGGAAGGGAGGAAGGGGCGGGGAGAGCGCCGGAGGGAGGCCGGTCGGCCGCGGGCGGGCGGGCAGCGCAGCGCCGAGCGGGGCCCGCGGGTCCATGAGGAGGCCCCGGGACCATGGGCTCCAGGATCAAGTGAGTGCGGCCGGGCGGAGCCGGGCCGGGCGCGGGGGAGGCGAGGCCGGGCTAGAGCTGCAGGCCCCGGGCCGCGCTTGGGGGACTTGTTGCCTGGACCTGAGGGGCGCCCCGCGTGGAGGCGTCAAGCGGGGAGGGGGACGGTTGCCATGGCGATGCGGGGAGGCTCGGGGACGGGGTGCGTGCGGGGTGGAGGGGCGCGGATGATCAGATGTCCCCTCCTCACCTGAGGGCGGGAACTGCTGACGTGACGAGGTGGCTCTCTCGGCGGGATGTGCTGAGAGCCCCAGAAAACTGTCATACAGCTGCTGGGAGGTGGGAGGTCCCCCGAAAGCAAGTCCTCATATTGGGTGTGTTTGGGGCGACCCCAAGAGTTGGCAGGTCCTGAGAGGTTGCTGCCTGTCTGCTTGAGGCCTGTAGCCATTACAGAAGTGGTGTGAGGTTCTTAGGGGGAGGGGCCCCTGGTGGATTTAAGGGCTGGATGGCCTGCTGAGGAAGGGCCTTTGCCTTTGCGGTTTCTTCTTATCTGAGTCTCCACACAAGCAAGGGCCAAAGGCTACGAAGGAAGATACCTTTGGGTTGTAACTGAGCACCTGATTTTGAAAAGGTTTTGTAATCCAATCTGGCAAATTCCCGCACTCCTTCATTCACTTGGAGTCTCAGGATGAGGCTTCGTTTTCTGGTGAAAGTGTTTATACTTTTAACTTCAGAACCCATTGAAACATTACGAGTTGACTTTGGAAAGTGCAACTTTTATGTGGCCTAATTTGGGTGTGTTGCTTTAGACTCCGTCTATCTCCCCTCTCCGCCAAGACCTCTTCTGGCCACTCCCTTCCTTAGTCCTAGAACTCAGATGCTTTATCTCTCTGTAATCATTAGCAAATGTTCACTTTTTCTCTATGACTAATAGAATTGCTTAAGGACATTTAAAAACAAAGTTGACAGCATAGGCTTCTCTGGAAAACAGCATTCAGGAGACACCATAAACCCTCTTAGAGGAAATTCCGTGGAATGTGTTTATTTCAGCATTTTGAGAATTGTACTAGGGAAGTTAGAAAGAGGAAGGGCCTCAAGGGCAAAACTCTAGTAATTATTCAAACGCTGCATCTCATGTCCAGGTGAGGCACACGCGGTGAGACCCCTGCCCAGCTAGCTGTTCAGCAGTTAGGGTTCTCCTTGACAAAAGGTGCCTTGTATGTTTTGCAGAAACCCTGTGATACCCACTGAAAGGAAATTAGAAAAGTTTGCTCATGAAAAAGTTTGCTTATGAATGTGGAGGCATAAGATGACTATTTATTTATTTATTTATTTATTTATTTAATGGAAAAAGGAGGAGGGGGTTAGAACATCGCTAAACAAGACTCTGAGAATCTGGGGAGGTAGATGATTTAGTTTGTGAACTATTGGGATTAAAAAGTCACTCTAAGCTAAGTTCCAGCTTCCAGGTGAGAGTTGTAAACTTGGATTTCAATAGCACACAGAAGCACTTTCCATAAGTCACCTCAGAGTTGCAGAGGGAGCACACAGATGCTCACTTTTCTTGTTACAGAGAAGTTCAGAGAGTTGTGGACTGGAGGCATCAAGTATTCGAATAATAGAATAGAACAAGCAGAAGTTCAGGGGGCTAGCTGTCATCTACTCTTGCTCTTGTCAGTAGCAGGTTGACAAATATGTTTCTTAAGTATGTTTGGTGGAATGCATCACTATAATATCTGGGCGATTGAGCAAGGGAATTTACCAAGGCATGAAATTGTGTTAAGTGTGAAATTAGTATGAATTAGCCTTATTGATCTTCAAACTAGACTGTTCAGTGACTAAAAGAAAAAGGCCTGGAAATTATGTTAGCCTGTGGTGATACTGAAAGAATATATGAAAATGGAAGTTATGAAAATTAGTTGTGATTTATAGCGAGTGTTAATTATGTAATTTCTGTCCATAGTTAGGCATATGGATAGACAGGAGGCAAGGGAATAATCAACTTAGGTACCACCCTTGCCATTGGAGAAATGGCTTTGGTTGCTGCTGGCTGTTCTGTCAGGCATAAAAGATGTTCATGGTGTTCACTTAGCTGAAGTAGAAGCTAAGTGTGCAGGCCCCACTGAGTCAGTAGGTACATAGGTGGGTGGGGCAGACTGAGCACTCTCTAGGCCCTTCTAAGCAGTCTGTGTTTTCTGTTAGAGGACAATGTGGATCAGATCTGGGTTCAAATTCCAGCACTTTCTCAAGCTGTGAAACAGTATATCTGTAAATCTGGATTTTGCTAGGGTAGCAGGAGACTGCAGGACCATTGTTGAGCAGTAAACACAGGGTCAGTGTGATTGTCAGGCCCATATTAGGAACTTGGTGATTGTTTTACACCTTCTTGTCAAATGATTAAGAATATCTGATGTATTTTATGCTAGAAATGTCAAAGAAAGGCATGTTTAAGGTAACAGAACAAAGTATTAATGACCAAGGGTTAAGACTGACTTAACACTGTCACAATACTAAAAAATAAAAGTTGATTAAAAAACAATGCAGTGTATAATTGTGAAGCTGGTGTCTGCAGTATGCTGAGTGATAAAAGCATGTGCATTACTAGATCCAGTAGGTGATTTGCTCCTTGTTCGGGCTTGGCAAGCCGAGGCTGCTGGAGCAGTCTCTGTCGGGCACATGGTAATGTTTAATGTGAATCATGTCATGAAACCCTCACAACTGTCCACTGGTGCTATTTATTAACCACTGTTTTCACAGGAGAGAGGGAGTCCATAGGCCTAAGATCAGATGCCAGTTCCCTACCAGCTGTCTGCATCCCCATCCTAAGTCAGGTGTCTCTTGTTTCTGTAACACTTATTCATTAGGATGACAGTGCCAAGTCTTGTTCCTCATTTGGCTTACAGTAAGTGGGACACAGACTTTTTGAGAGCAAGGACTGTCATTTGTTTTTCAGTTCCCTGTATCAGACTTGAACTGGCACATGGTTGTCTAGGAATAATTTATTGGCTGTGTTTAATAGGATCTGAATTAAGATGCTAAGACATTAAGTTCTCAGATTGAAATGTATATAGAATTTAAAAAGTAATTTGCTATTGGAAGTCTTAAAAGTTCTTTGTATGTAGTTAAGTGTAAGGCAAATTGTCTTGATCTGGGTAGAATATTACTTTTTACTAACAAGAGTTCATTTAGTCTGTGTTCATTTTAAGTAATGGCACACTGTCTTGCATCAAACCAAACATCTAAGTGACAAAGAAAGAGGTCGCCAGTATTTAGGTAGTTCACCGGAAACCTAAACCTTCAGCCCAAGCAGATATTTTCTAGAGTCATAAAAGGAGCAGGGGTAAGTGATATTCTTGGACAGGTATGTTTAAATCTTATTTAGTGTTTGAGTGATCCCTGTGGATTGGAATGTGGTTAATATGAGGCAATTTAACTGATAATGCAGATGCACAGCAGGAAACCGTGAGGCAGTTTAATATTGCTTGTGGTGACATCCTAGAAATTGCTTCCAGGCACCAGGTCCAGGAAGTGGGCTGTAAGTAATGGGAGGAAGTATTTTAAGTGAGTTTGAAGAGACCTGACATTAATGGACTCTGAGAAAAGCCTACTTAAGATTTGAAGGCATAGAAACAGGATAGGCCAACAGTTTTGGCTTTGTGGTGATCTGCATTAACCCATATGCTGTTCTGCTGTCCCGGTTGGACTGACCTTGAGGTTGGTATTGGAGGAATCTATTAACTCATTTACCCTCTTACTACAGAACCAAGAAGTGTCGAGCACATATTAAACATTTAATAAATATTAGCTGTTATCAATTGTAGTAGTACTGTGCCTAACAATATGACAAGTACTAGGGGTACAAAAAGAAAAAGATGCTCTTTTGTGCTGAGGCTCTCTAAAGTAGTAGATACAGTACAAAATAAAAGCACCCTGCCCCCAACCATCTCCCTCAGACCCTACGAATAATTTGTTATAATTGCTATGGTGGCTGGGCTGCAAGTAATGACTAGGTGGTGGAGTGAAGGTGAGACTGGCTACCCTGGGGGGTGAGGGAGTATCAAGAGAAGAAGGCTTTAGAGAGGGAATGTTTTAGTTGATAGATGAATAAGTGCCCTAAAGGGGTCAAGGTGGTGATGTGGCTGCAGTGACTGGAATGTCAACCAAGGGAGTGGTATGTATAAAGTCAGGCCTATTAGGGAAATGAAAATATTACTTAAATGTGAGGAATTGTGTTAGATGTCAGAAATTAGAATGGGGATGACAGAGGTGTTTTTTGTTTGTTTGCCTGTTTGTTTTGAAACAAGGTTTCTCTGTGTAGCCCTGGCTCTCCTGGAACTTGTTCCATAGACCAGGCTGGTCTGGAACTCATGGAAATCTACCTGCTACTGCCTCTGGAGTGCTAAGAGTAAAGGCATGTGCCACCACACCCAGGAGATTGATGGTTCTTATTTTTGTGGTACTACCAGGCTGGTGGACCTGATAGATAATTGAGGAAGTTCACATGAAGTAATGAGGATGTGTTGTAAGGCAATCAAGATGCTGAGAGAGGATGCTACCTACCAAGTGGCTGTCCTATTTTGGATAGAGTAGTGGGGGTTGACCTCACTATAGAGATGTTATTTGAACTCAGAATTAAAGGATGAAGAAGTAATAGTCATGTCAGATTTGGGCAAGACTTTGTTTTAAGCAGAGGGCAAAGCAAGAGAACCCTGGGAAAGATTATAGGAACTGATGCTGTAAAAAGGGATTTAGGTGAGGTTAGAGTAAGAGAGAATGCTTAAGCTGGGCCTTCCAGGTTTTGGGATTCTAAAAACTTTCATTTATTTATTTATTTATCTATCTATCTATTATTTATTTATTTATTTATTTATTTATTTATTTATTATTAATTTTTTTGAGACAGGGTTTCTTTTTGTAGTCATGGCTGTCCCTGGAACTCATTTCATAGACCTGGAACTCAGAGATCCACCTGCCTATGTTTTCTGAGTGCTGGGATTAAAGGGGTGCACCCCCACTGCCTGAAA